AGCCTAGGTGACAGAGTGAGACTTTGTCTCCAAAAAAAAAAAAATAGCTACTGGAAATTTTCTGAAATATATTAATGATAGCAATAAATAATTTTAAGAAGCATAACAATCCAGGCAGGAAAAATGAAAAGAAACTGACATCTGTATGCATCATGGTGAAACTGTAGAAAAACAAAGGTAATGAGAAAAATATTATGAGCAATCAGAAAAGAGCAGTTATATTAACAGGTGATTTGGTTGTAAGAGTGGAAAACAGAAGACAGTGTGATGATATTTTTGACATGCTGACTGAAAATGACTACCAACTAAAAATTCTATATTCAAAGAGAATATATATTTCTAGGATGAGGGAGAAATAGAGATTTTTTTCAAAATAAGCAGACTACGAGATAGATTGTCCCTGCAAGACCCTTAGCACAGGAATTTCTCAGAATATATTTCAAGCAGAAGAAAAAGTGATCCTAGAAAGCAAGTCCAAGGTTCATGGAGAAATAAATAGCAAAGAATGCACCAAATATTAGGCAAATGTAAACAAACATTGACTCCATAAAAGAGAATAATAATGTCTAGTGGTATTTAAAAAATTAAAACACCAGATGGTAATAACATATACATTGAGAAAGGGATAAATTGATTAAAAATATTCTAAGGTAATATCTTAGTAGAAGGTAAAGGATCTCACACTAGCTTTATTTGTTGATAAGTACTAATGCTGTAATGCTAAGTTAACTATACTAACAGAACAGAAACAAAGTGCATCCTCCCAAACTAGTAAAGAAAAAAATGGAATGATAAAAATATTAAAGGACAGAAAAAGCAATAAATACTTAGTGAAAGAAACAAGAAACAAATGAAACATACCTAGAATTCCCTTTATATGAATTAAAAAACACCTAAATTATATTTTTAAGGTATATAGCTATAGGTGGGAAAATAATGAAAGGCAACAAAATAATGACTAACACGCAGGTTCGTGGCTAACTCCAGAGAAGGGAAGAGGCTATGATGACAAAGGGACAACTGATAGGGGTTGGGGCTTCTAAAGGGCTGGCAGGGTCTATACCTCGTCCTGGGTGGTGCTTATGTAGGTGATTGATTAATACCTATTAAAAATACACATAGATGTTTTATACATTTTACTTAAAATGGTTTCTGCATTATTTTATTATATTTTAAAGATTTTAAGTGAGTTATACATAAAAATACATTAAAAAATACGAGAATACGAACACCACCCTTTCCTTCATAATTCAGGAAATCTGAATCTAGGGACATGAGTGGTTCTCCTCCTCACTGGAGGACCAGTCAGTCCAGATCCACCTGCCCTGATGAGCAAAAGAGAGAGTATGTTAGGCAAATAAGGGGGACAGTTTCCTTTTTAGTAAAGAGCGTCTTTTATTCTGATAATTTTATCCTTTCTGTATTTTGGATTCGTCATTTTATAATGTCCTTTCTGTTATAAAATGCTGATGATAGTAGGTGGTCAGTTATGATTCAATGACCTTTTTATAAAACAAGAACAGAATAGGTCATTCTTCTCTATTGCTGACTCACTGAGAAACCAATGAATCTCTGTGAAAATAAGCAAAGTGATTCTGTGCTTATTTGCACAGTAAGGCTGCTTTTGATAAAAATGTGACTTGGATATTGTTATGGATTGAATGTGTTCCTCTAAAATTCCTATGTTGAAACCTTAAACCCCAGTGTGATGCCATTAGGAGGCAGGGCCTTTGGGAGGTAATTAGATCATAAAGGTGGAGCCCTCATGAATGGGATTAGTGGCCTTATGTGAAAAGACATGAACGTCTGCTCTCTCATTTTCTGCCCTCTGCCATGTGAGGACACAGTGAGAAGACAGGACAGATGTAAACGAGGAAGCAGGACCTCAGCAGACACCCGATCCACCTGTGCCTCCATCGTGGACTTCCCAGCCTCCAAAACTGGGCGAAATGCACGTGTGTGGTTTAAGTCACCCAGCCTTTGGTACTTTGATATAGCAGTCCTAACTAAGACAGATATGAACTGGAAGAACTTCAGTGAGAAAGAAAAGTAGACAAACACAGAAAGCGGGTCAGGCACAATACTTTGTAACATGCTGTATTAAATGTGAAAACAGTAAGGGTAAGAACCAAAGGAAGAAGATGGGGACACTGGGATACTTCATATGGACATTCAGGAGGTTAAAATCTAGAACCCTAAATGGATGGATGGCTTTATTTTCAGTATTAGTCATTGCTCTGAGACAGTATTTTATGCTACTTCTGGCTACATTCTTTTGGAGGTCATGCATGATGGAGTTTCTTGAATTAGTATATTCTCTCTTCTATAAATGTCTGAATCAGGTCAAGTACAAAACTAATGTAATAATATAATTCCACTGTATATTGTGTACTACAGAATATGCTATATTTCTATATTTAATAGTATATGATATAATAAAGCACAATTTTTTTGGTCATTATGTATTTGTTTTTACTAATTAATTTCATTATTTACTAATTCTGTTGGCAGGTATCAGTATGCCCATTTCACAGGTAAGGATTCTGAAGCTCAAAGAAGTAAGTAATGTTACCAGCTTCTAAGTGGTAAAAATAGAATTACATCCCCTAGAGTCCAACTTCAATACTGCTCTGGCTGGTTTTGTTGCCTTGTCTCACGGCTGCATTAACACTTAAAGATCATTTGTATAAGGACTAAAATACCATTTATTCTTTTAAATCACATTCTGCACTCACTCAGGCAGCTTGTCTTGACCCCTAGGAGGAAGGGGCAGACATTTTTCCAGAAGCACAATGAACAACACCAGAACAAGTCTAAGGGGGTGCAAGAGAAATTCAGAAACTTGAGCATAAATCTCTTTCAAAATAAAACCACAGCATCTTTAATCAAGGCCTGGCAATGGTTGTATCATTTCTCTAAGACTGGAACTGGTAAATGTGGGCTATCCCACTAGACCTTTAATACTGGGTTAGAAATGGATCCAAGAAGTTGACTAGCAAGTCAATTCATGCAGCACAAACATGAATCTGTAATTCTCTTACCCATTACCACAAAACACAGTTTGTTGCTGCTCTGAATTGACTTTGAAGACAATGAGTGCCTGGTAGAAACCATAAAAGCATTAAAAATGGGGCCAGAAGTAATAAATAAGGACTGCCAGAAAAATGTTAACAAGTTTCTTCTACAAGTCAAGTCTATTGTCAATTTACAACAGTTCTGAAGGTTGAACAAGAGGCATGCAATTAGTTAGCTAACTTGCAAGGTTTGCCTGCAATCAGAAAGGGAGTTTTCTTTCACCTGTATAAAATTTAACAGCTGATAATTTTATCTCCTGGTATAAAAAGATTAAAATAATAAAATAAAAATAAACCAAATGCTTTAAAATATGGAATCTTATCTCTCCCATTATCCCACACATTTGCATAAACTCTCTTCCCAACGGAATTCTTCTCACTCAGCAGGGGAAGATCATCTTTTCAGCAGCCAAACTCAGCAAAGCCAGTGACTTTCCTCCCCTCCTGACTTCCCCCTTAGAGCTCATTCAAAGGGAAGACAAAGGACCTGCAAGTGGATGAAAGTTGTTTTGTGCCTGGCCCTTAGGGGTACTTTATTTTCCTTAAAAAGATTATCTCAACCTTACTGTAGCCAAAAATAAAAACAAAACAAAACAAAAAACCCTAAAAAAATTTCTGAGGCAGTTTAAATTAAAAATACAAAGGACTGAGATATATTTTAAATTTATTCATAATTAGTTTACAGATCGGACAGCACTGAGACTCCAAAATCATCAAGCCACTTGGGGATAAAGGCTACTGCGGTCATCAGAAGCAAGCCAAATGCTACCTTTTGTTCTTACTAAAATCTTCTTTTAAGAAAAATCTCCCAGCAAATGATTTTCTATTTTCTATTTAAAGAGGATTACATAGCAAACACAACTAGTGGCTGGAGAGCAAAGAACTTCCCATCGTTTTATTACCTGCCAAATATAAATTAGTTCATTGTGGGTAATTCCTGCCAGGCGACCCCTTTCCTTGTCATCCATCAGGCCGATGGGCTGTGGCAGGTTAGTTCCTGCCCGGAGTCCTTCCTAATCAGGAGGCTGTCAGATATGTTGCCTGCCCACTGTCTCCTACATCTTGTGGCAGCTCTTGTGTTTGGGCAGCAAGGTTTTGAGCTTGAATTGCCCCAGTAACTGGCTTCGAATTGCTCTTACTTACTATCACTGTCAAATCTTTGTAAGTATATGTGAGGCCCTCTTCCAGGTACAATGGAGAAACCCTACAAATTTCACTTTGTAATAACTACAGGATACAGAAATTGTATTAGCTCCATTAGATGGGGTCATAGAAAAATTCAAAAAGGTTAGCTGGATATAGTGAACGTCACAGTTAGACTAAGATAAAAAATCTCTTGGCTAATTTAGAGTGTTTCCTCGTTGGTAATACCCTATATTAAGGTGCCATTTATAAACAGTTTATTATTATTTATTAATGTCTGAAGCACTTTATAGCATGCTAGATAACAACTTAAATTCATGTATTAAAGATGCACATACATAGTTTAATACGATTTACGTCTTATAATATTCTTTAAAACAGCTTCCCATAGTATCATCCGTTAAGCATTTATTACTAATGCATTTTATAACATACTTTATAATACATTATTTGAGCAAGTAGCTGCATTTAGTGATCATTTCATAAATAAGAATAAGGCATTTATAAATGGCACCTTAATTTAAAGTGTTACCTTCGCATTACTACATAGCCGCTCACCATACATCTCATTTTGTGATTATTCTCCAAATGCACCACTTAATAAAACAGACACTAAGTTCTATTTTCCCTTCATCTGATTAAAAGTTTATTTAGTCATTTTCTCCATCTGTTTTCAGATGTTGGTAGCTTGGAGGTTTTAGTGTGATTTCTGATAAAACCAAATTTTTAATCCTACAATATTTCTGAAAAGATGTTTAACAATAGAAACAGAGAATTACTTACCATATTGGACAGAGCCTGTTGCTTGGATTCTTTGTAAAATTCAATTTTTCGACTAGAAAGAACAATCCAGGAAGTAGACCAGTTTTTCCTTAGAAAAAAAATAAAAAGGAAAGAAAGCATTATCAGTTGAAGAAATCATTTATAGATACAGTATGAGCAACATTTGGAATGAGTAGAGACCATCTTTATTTTTAACAGTCTTCCTAAAAGTCTCCTCTTTATTAAAATCTATAGGTGGTATGGAATTTGGGTAATAATAAAGACATTCTGGAATTATTTAAAAGCATAGCATTTATAGTAAGAGTTTCTTAATTTATAGATCCACCTAAAATCTTTTTCAACTACCAAAAATCCATTTTTTGTGTATCCATGTGCATCCTTCCCATAAAAAGTTTATGTTTTTACAGCAAACAAAAATAGCAAAGTATAAATAGGAATCAGGACCCTTTCCTTCCTTCATTATTTCTTCTCTTCATTGGTTTAGTGTATTTCAGTCTTAAAAACTAACCAGCCTCATGTATCATTGCTTAATTCAAAATATTTTCATAATATAGTATCTTACTAGAAATCAAAGAAATGCAAATAAAAATAGTGACATGCTTTTTCCCTCTTTGTACATCAAATTGTCAAGGAATAAAAGAACTAACATCTGATAACATCCAGGGATAATCAGGGTGTAGGAAATAGATTCTCTCATACACTATTGGTAGGAATGCAGACTGTTACTTCCTTTCTAGAGTGTAATTTGAAAATGTGCTTTTTAAAAAATCCCTAAAAATGTGTATATCTTTTGGCTAAACATGTCCATTCCTATGAATTTAAATTTATTCTAGAGAAATAGTCTCACAAGTTGCTGAGTCTGTGTGCATAGAAATTAATTGCATCATTATTTGTTAATTCCATACATAAAGTATATAAAAAGATTGGTTAAATAAATTGCATATAATACACCCATATAACAGAATAATGAACCCTATGCTGTAGAAGAATACTGATGTAGGAATGTTTTAATGCAGACCATAATACATGTAGTTTATAACTGTGCTGTGCTATTTACCTAGGACTTTCTTCACCCATACAATCCCTTCTGATTATTAATTCCATTAATTAGAAGTCAAAACATTGCTTTGTCATATGTGCCATCCACGACTTCCTCTCATATCACTTATTATAAATTTAAAAATATTTTTCATAAATTTCACCTCTATCCTCCATTAAGAAATGAGCCTCGAGATGTTAGAAATCAGTTCATCTCTACAAAGGTATCCCCAATGCTTAACATGGTGCCTTGGACAGAATAAACACAAAATACATATGTATTGGGTCAATGACTGAACTTTGGCCTGGAAAAAAGTCTTGATATGACAATAATTAAATCAAGTGGTAAAATCGCGGCTTTTGAGTTTCGTTTGTATTCCTTGGTGTTTACCAAGTTTTCTGCATTGAGCACGTATCGCTTTTGTAGTTAAAATGTGTATATGTTCATGTCATGAAGGCACTCTTTTGTAGATAGTAAAGATATTAAGGAGACTAATATCCATGAGTTTCTACCCATTAGAGTGTATTATTGCAGTTTGCTTCGGCTTAACATTCACGTCAAAATAGTTGATTTCATTTTACAAAAGTGATTTTTTTAAAAAAGTTTATGGAAAGACTTTATTCGGGTCAATAGAAAACCACACCAAAATATTTTTAAATGACTATTGAAGATCTTTGTGTAATTTATTTCCACTTGCCTTTTAGAAACTAAGAGCTTGATTGAAAGGACAGCTTTGATTCAGTAAGGTTAATATTTACAAAAAGAATTAGGTTGCTCTTATATGCCTGGAGCTTTCTCAATGATACACCATTGTGTTAAAAAAGAACAGAATAAGCAGACACACAAGAAGCACAATGTGTATTTTTCAACATCCAAATACAAACACTGTGTTCTTGGACCCACTTGTCTTTAAATGAAGAGTCTCAATTTTTCAATTAAATGATGAAAACATGAAAAAACAAAACCCAGAAAGAAAACCACACAGACATTTCCTTCTGCCCTAGTGTCCATTTCTCTTTTTAGGTACCAACAGCAGAAGAGTGAATTGAAGCAGCAATAGCCTTCTCTTCATTCAGGTCATAATGATAGATGACCTCAAACAGGAAAAAGAGAAACATTATTAGAAGTCTAGTCTGGGCATCTTTTAACACCACCCTTGTTTTGACCATATGTGGTCAGGGAGTACAGAACACCCTCACACATGAAGAATCCATATTTAACCTACCTATTATATTTCCCACTATATATTTCATATTCTCACAAGGAGATACTATACCTTATTTGCATCCTATCTATAGTAAGTCCTGGATAAATGGCTCTGATTTGAATCTGTTTCGGACGTTGATCATTTATAGAACTTGCTGGCAAAACTCTCCCCATCCTTAAACTTGGAAATGGAACTGGTTAGAGTTAAAGTTGCATGAAACACAATTATCTCATTGTTCTTTATTAGGACTTTGAACTGCTGTGAACTGCGTCCCTGTTAGGTGAACTGGATGAAAAAACTGAAGAGGGTAAGAACTGCAGGTCTCGAAACCTTAGCAATATGACTTGCTCTGACACCTTATGCACAGTGCTACTTTGTTTTGAAATTATAAACTATAAACACGGTCTTTATCTTCTCTGAATAAAAGTGAAAGCTGAGCGTTATTGCTTGAAAAGAATTTCATTTCAAAACGAAGAATAATAATGCTGCTGACAACCTTTTAGATGTCCTCTTTCATCTCAATTTTTTCCCATGATTTCTTTTAAAATAATAATTAGCATAAATTATTTAGAATATCTAGCATAAATCTAATCACCTAGTTTATGCTTAGCTTCATACACAAAAATGATGAAAGTACTAACATCTCTATTTACTAATATGAAAAACGAGGCTCAAAGGGTAACTTAAGGTCTTACACTTAGATTTAAAGTTAAACCCTGTTTCTCTAGCTCCAAAACCTATAATCTGTTCATTACTTTATGCTGTCTGGTTTTTTTTAATCCAAATTTTTTTATTTACTTTTTAAGGCCTCAATACACATTTTTGAATAACTGAAAGACATGAGTTTACACCTATCTGCCAATGAAAAACAGAATTGTGTACAGAATTTGCAAAGCACAGTGCAGAATAAAAATTCAGCATTCTGTGTCCAAAAATTATGAAGAATTTTAAGACAGTAACAATCTAGCATTAAATCAAGGGCAGAGTCCTTCTGAGCATGGGGCCCTGGACGCACACCAGTGAAGGAAGCCCTAACTACATTATGACTTTACAACAATGACCAAAGAATAATTTCTTTTTTATATACTGTCTTTTTTTGTAAAATTATACTTTAAGTTCTAGGGTACATGTGCAGAACGTGCAGTTTTGTTACATAGGTACACACATGCCATGGTGGTTTGCTGTGCTCATCAATTCATCATATACATTAGGTATTTCTCCTAATGCTATTCCACTCCCAGCCCCCGACCCTCCAACAGGCCCCAGTGTGTGATGTTCCCCTCCCTGCGTCCATGTGTTCTCATTGTTCAACTCCCACTTATGACTGATAACATGCGGTGTTTGGTTTTCTGTTCTTGTGTTAGTTTGCTGAGAATGATGGTTTCCAGCTTCATCCACGTCCCTGCAAAGGACATGAACTCATCCTTTTTTATGGCTGCATAGTATTCCATGGTGTATATGTGCCACATTTTCTTTATCCAGTCTATCATTGATAGACATTTGGGTTGGTTCCAAGTCTTTGCTATTATGAATAGTGCCATAATAAACATACGTGTGCATGTGTCTTTATAGCAGAATGACTTATAATTCTTTGGGTACATATCCAGGATTAAGCAGTTCTACCTTCATTAAGGAATTTTCAAAGTCAGATTTTAATGTAGTTTTGGTTGAAATCCTCAAATGATAGAAGCTAGCGTGCATAGTGTGAGACAAGATATCAGCTATCCAGGCTCTGTTATTAACTACTTTATCTGATCCTTATTAGAAAGACTGAACAAAGACCCACCATTCCCAAGCTCTCTTACCCTAGAAGTTGCACTGATTCAAAAGAATAAGATGATGTATCATTTGACTCCTCATTAGAAGACAGAAACAGGTGTGTGTTCCTAACTGGGTGGCATCTCTGTATCTTTTCTGCCAGGGAATATTCTGGTCTGTGATTAGCAGACTCATCTGCACTCAGCAAAGAATATAAACCCAGAAAGGGAGTCAGCGGCCTGTAGTCTAGGAGTAGCTGAGGGTTTACCTCATGAGAACAACTTTTCACTATGGCTTAGGTCTGAACCTTCCTCTCTGATCAAAGTACTCTAGAAACTTGACCATTATCCTTATAATATCTGTCCAATCTATTTCCCATTCTGACATGTCTGACCCATTGTGATGCCTATAGTTCCCTGCACATCAGTGGAATAGTTTTTCACCGAATTACTCTAACATGGTGACTCTCTTGTAAGGCATTGTCAGCTCTGGAGTGTGCAAAGGATCACTTGGCAAGGTTTTCCTTGACTTAAGGATTTGATATTTTCCATATGCAACCAAATCACTATATATGACTCTTACTCAATATATTAGGTGACATCTCAGGAAGTGGGCAACTCATACAAGCTTAAAAGCCTTAGCCAGGATAGGTGAGTCCAGCAGCTTCTGATGAAACTTTGCAAATAGACTATTTTCTAGGATAAACACAGTTTTCACACTAGGAAGTCCCTCTCCGCCCCATGCTCCCACAAAGAGGTAGAAACCACCTCTAACCTCTTAGAGTATTTCCAGTACTGGGCATACTATTTGACATTTAGTAGGTGATAATTAAAGATTTTTTGAGTAAAAGAGCATATGGCCTTTCAAATTTCAGGAGGGTCACACATCTAGATGTTTTCTGCTCTGTGTTTGCTATTCTTCATTAACGAGGACTAAAAAGTTTCATTTCCTTTCTCTGTTCTTTAGTTTCTTGGTGCTTTAATACAGTATTCTTAACATTATTTTTTCTTAACTATCGAACACTTCTGATATAGGATATTGTTTCCTAATTTATGCTTCTAGTGGCCAATACCTGAGCTTTCTC